GATCTACGCCGGGGCCATGGCTGCACAGGAGCTTCGCTGGCTCACCTACCTGCTGACTGACCTTGGAGAGCCGCCTCGTTCTCCTCCAGTGCTGTACGTAGACAACAAGGCCATGCTGGCCTTGTATCGAGAGCAGCGCTTGGAGCACAGAATGAAGCACATTGCTCTCCGCTACTTCCTTGCTTGTGAGCTGCAGCAGCGTGGTCAGTTGCGACTTGCGTACGTGGCCTCTGAGGCCAACACTGCTGATGTTTTCACCAAGGCACTTCCGCCTTGTGATCATCAGCGCTTCTGCACTCAGCTGGGACTTGTACCTATCCTACCTCACTTGCTCTCCTCTTGACCTTGCTTGTACTCTTGCATATATATATATACCTGCTCTTGCTTGTTTAGCCTTATATGTATATGTCTCCTCTTGCATGTGAACTGGCCTTGTGGCCTTGACCTTGTGCTCGGACTGTGTGGTGACTTTGTGATCCACCTTGAACTTTGCTTTGCTTTGCTTGACTGGTCTTGTGACTCCTTGTTCTCCCCCACTTTGCCTATGGGGGTGTGTCAAAACATTATAGCATATGCTTTTGTGTAGGCTATAGTGGGGTATCCCATAGGGGGTACAACCCAATTAGGGTTGGTACTTGTACTCACTCATTTCATAGTTGATTCATTCGTGTTCTTTCATTCCACATGTTCATCATCTCCCCTCTTCTTGCATCGTATGCCAATCATGAATTCATTTCATCCCTTTTATCATCACTTCATTCTGCAGTACGGGCATGCATCACCATATTGCCACGTTGCAACTCACTGAATATCATAATACCCACCTCAAAACAGCATCCAACGAATACCCCATAAATGCAGATAGTCTCTTGTCCATCAATCATCCTTCTCAGTCATCTTCCATCCCTTCCATCCTCTTCCATCCGTTCATACTCCCTTCACCCTCCAGGGCGACACATGTGTGTCCATTGCCAGTTCTATTGAACTCACAAGAGACGATCTCACAGACCTCAACCCCGGCCTTGACTGCACGCAAACCATCAAGCCCGGCTGCTCGATCTGTGTGGAGCGCAACAGAACATACGCCTACAGCGTCCCTCAGTGTGTGAAATACGCCACGCTCGCAGCACAGAGCACGTGCGAGAAATTGCTGCAGGGGTTGGGACTGCCAAGCACTCCTTCCACCTGGGCTGAGCTCTACCGCAACAACCCCGGTCTTGTCTGCTCCAACACCATCCCTTTCACCACGTCGGCTATTGGCAACAAAATCGGCGTGCAGATGAGAAGTGCAAGTGGGAAAGGAATGGGTGGGGAGAGGGGATGCGCAACGGGAGGTGGTAGGTGGGAGAATGAGGAGATTTGGAGCTAGCCAATCATCGGGGGCACTTACAGTGTCCATCCTTGCTTTTCTCCCAGCCTTTCCTGTTCCCATCATCCTATCGTTCTTCCTACTCTTTTCTTTTCTACCCCGTGCCCCACGTGGTGCCCCCAGGTGTGTCTGCAAGCAGATTACTGGCCGTTTTTACTCGGAAAATGCACCAAGGGCCGGCCCAAGAATGTGTCCCCATCGCTGACCTGTTCCGGTGCTTACAGCTACTATGGGGGCACTATGAGCCAGGCAGCTTCAAATTTCAATACCTACAATGGCAATGCCTGTGCTGGGAAGGTCGGGGCTAAGTACATATGTGTGCCGCGTTAGATGAGAGGCATAAGTTTCTATTCAAGCACGGGGAGCCCCACCTTTCTATATTACTTCCACTACTATAAAACTACTATGGTTTTGTGTCCGTTTCTGTTTTTTGGGTTGTTTGGCTCACTTTGCTTCGGGTTTTAGTTTTCAACCCATTTCTTGCATGCGTCCCATTGTACAGTATCTTGTTGGGCTTATAAAATGTCTGTTTCTATTACCGTATTTAACATATTTCGACAGCTTTCAGGCTTTCAAACTGAGTTTATTGTTGGTTGAGGGGAGTTGGATAGTGCTAGTGCTAGGAAGGAAGGTTCGGTACCTTATGACAAAGCCTTCTGGCAGAGGTGCCTGCCTCTTGGAGAAAAAAATAAGACGGATGAGGACTACGATTGAACAATGGCAATGGGGACAAACAAGGAGTCAGAGGCGGTTTTCTCCCTCTTTTCAATCATACGGATGCCTGCCGCGGGTTGTGGACCCACTCGGATTTCTTCCCCATTATTCTAATGGCGGGTGGCGAATGTCGCTCCTGTTTCTTCTTGGAGTCCTGTGCTGGCAACGTTGATAACATATGTTGTCCATTAATTTTGGCATACCATACCGTATTTCATTAACTGGGTTGTGCATATCATTTTTCTATGGATGTGTGTGATTTGGGCCACAATCGGCCATATAGATGAGTCTGATCGTCTTCAAGTGTTGGGTCGAATCGAATTGATTAAGGGAATCGAAGGGGTTGCGGATGAGCCGGATGCAGTCAGGTGTGTCGATGTCTAGGGAGTAATCCATGTTTTTAGGGCACTACTTGTATAAGGTCAGTGACCATCATAGTGGTGTGGCGGCTGCATGACATTGAGGTTTAGATGTTGTGAACACGGTAAGAAGGCTGGATATTTAACTGTTTTATGTTAAAATTATATGAACCTAGGACCGAACGAGCAGGATATTCGGCTGTTTTTAGCGAACGTAACTGGTTGACCATGATGGCAAATCCAGCTTTGTGTGAAAAGCCCTGTGGACGAATTTGACTTGCGACTTTCGCTTCTAGTGGGCGAGATTGTCAGCTACCCGATGATAAGATGATTTGTTCAATGATTCGATATATTTATACACGTAGATGGGTGGTCTTGGTTGCGATTTGTCGCTGGCTTCTTGTGTTTGGCAGATGTGGAGCCTGGAGACCTTTCATCAGACCTGCTCTGCATGCTCGTTCGACAAATCAAGGGATGTCAGCCAGGCTGAACCCCCTTGTTCCCGCGCCTTTCAGGGTCATATCGATATATGCTTACAAGTGTTCTCGTTTATATTCCGACGGACTGAGACGCTGCGCGCGGACTATGTGCAAAACCCTTCAAACCCCGGGCAGAACGCGATACTTACAGTCCCGTTCAGGAAAATTGCATGAAGAGTGGATTTCTCGCTACTAGTCTTTGGAGTTTGTCTTGTACATAGATTCGGTTCCCCACGCTGATCAATGTCGCATGACAAACGGGCAAAACAAAACAGAATCAATTATGGTTTGGGGGTCGAATATAAGGTAAAAGAATCTCGTTTACTTTGTAAGCGAGGTAAATGAGATGTCATCGTCGAGCGAGCTGGAGACCGCGCGACAGGATTGAGAATTAATCACGCTCAAGAGAAACAATTACTTACAATTCCAAAGTTAAATATCAAATCAATAATCCCTTCTTTCATTTTCCCTGAATGTTGGGGCTGGTTCGATCTGGAGCATCTGATTGGCTGTAGAGCTGATTCGTGCAATGATTCGGTCATGCTGCAAAATTTCCCGCCAAAAAAGGGACTATAGGGGTCGGGCCAACCCTAGGCGATATCAGAAAACTCTGCACAAGGGGGAAAAGGGACTCTTTCAGCGAGGGCCTCTAATCCGGAACATCTGTATTATGTAGTCAAAGGATATTGATAAGGAAACCCTCAGATTCTCTAGCAGAAACTATTGTGCTCGCTTAGAAGCTAGCGGGACTACTTCTCTGACCCCCACTCTCCTCCTCCCCTTTCTGCCCCTACCAGCAGACCCTAAATCCATCCACTCCGGCGTAATGAGAGCTGTTTCGAGAGCAGCTCAACGACTACTCAAATTAAGATCCGCACCATGTTATATATCTGCTCACCCTGTAAATGGCCGGGTGCTGCCTTGCCATGTCACCACTCATCAAATTTGTTTTAGAGTTAAGAAAGACCTTGAGCTTAGTGTCTTCTTCCACATCTAAAATCATGCTGTTAAACAAAGTGGCTATGGAGGAAGTATTGCCTTGTTTTTGGGTTGCATAGCAACCCTTTAGATTTGGTTTCACATTTTGGGGATATCATTTGAAGAGTGTTATTTACGCACTTTTTGGAGCACTTGTTTGAATGTTTTGAATCTGTGCTCAAACGGATGCCTCAAATAGTGGATAAAAAACACTCTTGAATGAGATCCCCAAAACACGTACGCACGTACGCATCATGTTGAAACCATGAACTTGCTCGACCGTCACAACCTTGTCGATAAATACGGCGGATCGTACGGCCGAGAATAATGTGCTGGCATCAACATGAACGAATGCAATTGTACAAATGAACAACAAGGTACCTATCAGAACATTATAGCTTATACATTTGTGTAGGCTGTAGTGGGGTAGCCCATAAGGGGTACAACCCAATTAGGGTTAGTACTTGTACCCAACTCTTTCATAGTTCAATCATTCTCTCGTTTCAATCTTCACCTGGTATAGAGCTGGTTCCCTCGTGGGAACTGTTCCCAGGGCCCACCAAATTAGTTTTTCCTGCCCGGAGCACGCTTGGCCTCTGCCCGAGTCGCGCCCCGAGTCGTTTCCCCTCTAGCAGCATCTAGCGGCCCCTAACGGCCTCGTCGCGCCACCCTTTCGGCCCCGTCGCGCCGCCCTTGCGGCCTCGTCATGCCGCCCTTGCGGCCCCGTTGCGCCGCCCCTTACGCGGCCTCGTAGCCGCCCTTTCCTACGGCCCCGTCGCCGCCCTTTCAGCCCCGTCACGCTGCCCTTGCGGCCTCGTCGTGCCGCCCCTTATGCGGCCTCGTCGCCGCCCTTTCCTACGGCCCCGTCGCCGCCCTTTCGCGGCCTCGCCGCCCTCCCTTACAGCAGCCCCGTCGCCCGCCCTTTCGCGGCCTCGCCGCCCTCCCTTACAGCGGCCCCGTCGCCCGCCCTTCCGCGGCCCCGACCTCGCCCTTCAGAGGCCCCGTCGCCTGCCCTCTTAGCGGCCCCACCGCCGCCCTTTCAGTGGCTCCGTCGCCGCCCGCCCTTTCAGCGGGCCCCGTCGCCGCCCTTTCAGCGGCCCCATGACCGCCCTTTCAGCGACCCTACGCCGCCCTTCCATCGGCCCGTCCCCGCCCTTTCAGCGGCTCGTCGCCGCCCTTTCAGCGGCCCCACCGCCGCCCTTTCAGCGGCCCCGTAGCCGCCCGCCCTTTCAGCGGGCCCCGTCGCCACCCTTTCAGCGGCCCTTCGCCGCCCTTCCCGCGGCCCTGTCGCCGCCCTTCCACGGCCCCGTAGCCCGACACTCTCTCGCAAATCTCTCCTCTCTTTGCCAATCTAATAACCTCATTTTTCTGCCCTTTTTACATCGCATTCACTTCCCGTCCCAACCCTCACGACTTACTCTTCTTCATTACAGAAAATCACGTACCCTGTTCAGGGCTTTGAGCGCACTGCATTCAACGGGTATGTGGGGCTTTTGCTGGCAGTGCAGAAGCAGCCAGTGGTGGTTCACATTGAAGCCACTGTTGCCTCCTTCGCCAAATACGACGGGGTGAGTGAAACCAAGTCGCTTTTGTTTGTCTACAAATGGTTGGTTGCTCCTTTCCGCTTCCTGCTTGCCACAAGTGATGTGGCACAGTTTATCGCTACATTTCTACCAGTAATGTGGGGAACAGGAACGTGAATATATGTCATGTAACTCATACAATGTTCTGCTGTTTATAAAAGAACAACCAGTGCTCCTAATGTTTTTTTTTACTTGATATACGCTGTGCATATACACTTCCTTATTTATGTTATCTAACCAGTATATTTTCATGTTTGCCTTTCTGTCTCCAGACTTTCAAGTACCAGGATCCTGGCTGCTATACCGGCAACCTGAACCACGTCGTACTCGTTGTTGGGTACTTCGTTTTGAGGGATGATGGGAGTGAGAACCGCATTGCGCCGCCGTTTTGGATCATCCGCAACTCGTGGGGCGAGGAGTGGGGAGACAGGGGCCACATGCGAATGGACATGCAGGGAGGCGATGGCGTGTGTGGCATCAACGTGCTGCCTGGCATCTACCCCATTGTCAAGAGTGAGGCACCTACCATATCAGGTTGTTTTCCTACTTCTTGAAGGGTCAAAAATCGCTTCCATTCCCAATAATGGAGCATATCTATGAGTTATTTGCATGCTCCTGGTTCTTTCTATGGAACTTCAGCTTTCCATGGGGTTCATTCATCCTTCCCTTATCTCCTCCTGCCCTCTATATCTTGTGTGCCATCCAGTCCCCAAGGAACAGTGATAACAGCTTCTTTAAGGGTCAGCAAGCACGCCCATTCCCAAGAATAAGAGCTATTTGCGTGCTCCTTTCCATCTCTTTCTCTTTTGAGGGGTTCATGAGAAAGCTGACACGTCAGCTTTCCTGAGGTTCATGGGGTTCATCCTTCCCTTATCTCCTCCTTCCCTCTCTCCCTCTCTTCTGTGCCTTCCACTTCCCAAGGACCCATGCGGCTTGAAGAGCTACAAGGGCGATGGAGATCTTCAGCCCAGCATAAACCCCGTGCAGTCGCTTCACTTGCATGCCCAACCTCAAGACCAACAGCAACACATGCAACTGCACCATTCCGGATCAGACCAAGCAGCCTTTCGTTGAGGCAGCAAACGGATATGGAAACATCTGTGTATATGGTGAGATACGGTGTATTGCTTATCGTTGCAACGTTCCTTCATGGTTCTGTGTGCTTCTTGGTAGCTTTTCTAGGTTATGAATCCATGCAGGGCCGTAAAATAAAACAAACAAACAAACAGACCTTTCACATGTGAACAAATACCACTCACATATATGTATTGTATTTCTGTGCCAAGCCAAGGGTCAATCATCCTGACATTTGCCCTGAATCTAATTGGTCACAAATGTAATCCCCCCCACCTCCTTCTTCCCCCCTCCCCCCTCCCCCCCCCTCCCTTTTTCCTCCTCCCTCCCTTTGTCTCCTTACACCACTCCCTATTACTCCTCTCCACCCCTCTTAACAGTGGACGTGTGTGGGTCGTACTTCAAGAACCCTTGCGCTGTGGGCACATGCATCAACGATGGCAAGGGCGCCTACTCCTGCATCTGCCCTCCCAACTACGTCCCCAGCCGAACCATTGACAACTTCCCCACCTGCGACCCAGGTGCTGCTGCAGCCCCACCTTCCTCTACTCTCTTGTTCCTCCTCCAACATTTGTAGCTCTCCTCTTTGTTCCCCACCTGCAAGACAGGTGCTTCTTCTCCCTCGCCTTCCTCTGCCTCTTATTCTTTCCCACGTGCCCATTATTCTCTCCAACAGCCCAGTCCCCCGAACCCGTTTCACGAGATTTTGTATTTTTGGGTATTGTTCTTTTGCTGAATGTCTGAGCAGTCAAAGGAAGGAAGCTTGTTGAGGAATGCGTTATGGAAGTGAGTAGCATCGTCCTTCCTTCTATCCTTGTCGCCCCCGTCGCCTCTTCAAAACTCAGCTTGTCCCTTCACTGAGAATTCATTTTTGTGGAAGCCGCAGAAGCTTTGTCCCTTATGGTTGCGAATTTCTGTTTTTTTTCCTATTTTCCTCCCTCGCCCTCTCGCTTTCCCCTCCAGCTAACATGAATGCCACCAGCATGACGGTAATTGGTGACAACTGGCAGTGCGTGGACGTGTATTCCCTTGCAGGGCTCTCCAGCACGCAATTCGCTCAACAAAACACAGTAAGGGGATATCATCAGGCAGCATGCAGTTCACTCTGCAGAAGTCGGTAAGGGGAGATCACCATGCATGGGAAGGAAAGAAAGAACTGAATTCGCCCTAGTTGAGTCGAGTCAGAAGCCGCCCTAGTTGTGCGGGGACGTGGAATCAGAATGGTATTCCCTCACAGGATTTCCAGCCCGCAGTTTTCACAGCTGACGGCAACTCGGTAAGGAGAGATCAACTGAAAGGGTTGACTGAACTCGGCTGGCGTGGAAGGTCTGAATATGTTGGGACAAAGTTTTATTCCTCTGCTTGGATAGCCTGAATAGCTTGAAGGGCCTGAATAGGCAGATTCACAATGGGCTTGTTATTTGCCATGTTCCTCTGCTTTGTTGTTTAGAATCTGTATTTGCAGTTGGCCCAAAACCCTCATGCCTGTGCTCTTAAATCCATATATTTCCCAGTGCCTGTAAGTCCTAATGCGTGTGATTCCCAATGCCTTTGATTTCCAATGCCTGTACTGCCTAATGCAGGCCGTTGCATGCAACAAAGCGCTACCTAAAGGGACGGTGCTTCAGCTCGCTGAATCTCCTGTCATCCCCTGCACTGCCTTCTTCTACGTTCTCAGTGTGAGTGCTGGAGCCAGCAAGAAAATAGCCTTGGATCCTTGTCTGTGTTCTTTATTTTATTTATTATTATTATCTGTTTTTTCCCGAGTGCGAGATGTTGTCCTTTCACTAGAGCATTGTGATTCCATCTATTCGAGTCACTCTTGTTCGCTTGCCTTCTTTTCTCGCCTTCTAGTCTTGCCTTCTTACTCGCTCCGCTTCGCCAAACCGAGAAGCCTCGCCTCAATACGTGTGCTTCAGTCCCAAGTGACTACACCATCATGCATCAGCAGATCACTACTTTGCAACTTCCCCGGCTTCATATCCCCGTCTACTTTGCACCTCTGATGCTCAATTTAAATGTTTCTGATTCTCAACATTGTTCATCATCTCCCCTCTTCTTGCATCGTATGCCAATCATGAATTCATTTCATCCCTTTTATCCTCACTTCACTCTGCAGTACCGGCATGCATCACCATATTGCCACGTTGCAACTCACTGAATATCATAATACCCACCTCAAAACAGCATCCAACGAATGCCCCATAAATGCGAATAGTCTCTTGTCGATCAATCATCCTTCTCAGTCATCTTCCTGAGAAACTTGAAGGACCAGGAATGAATGAACTATGAATGTGCGAGTACAAGTACCAACCCTAATTGGGTTGTAACCCCTATGGGATACCCCACTATAGCCTACACAAAAGTATAAGCTATAAGTTCTGACACACCCCCATAGGCAAAGTGGGGGAGAACAAGGGGTCACAAGACCAGTCAAGCAAAGCAAAGCAAAGCTCAGGGTGGATCACAAAGTCACCACACAGTCCGAGCACAAGGTCAAGGCCACAAGGCCACTCCACATGCAATATGAGACATATATATATAAGGCTAAACAAGCAAGAGCAGGTATATATATATGCAAGAGTACAAGCAAGGTCAAGAGGTGAGCAAGTGAGGTAGGATAGGTGCAAGTCCCAGCTGAGTGCAGAAGCGCTGATGATCACAAGGCGGAAGTGCCTTGGTGAAAACATCAGCAGTGTTGGCCTCAGAGGCCACGTACGCAAGTCGCAACTGACCACGCTACTGCAGCTCACGAGCAAGGAAGTAACGGAGAGCAATGTGCTTCATTCTGTGCTCCAAGCGCTGCTCTCGACACAAGGCCAGCATGGCCTTGTTGTCTACGTACAGCACTGGAGGAGAACGAGGCGGCTCTCCAAGGTCAGTCAGCAGGTAGGTGAGCCAGCGAAGCTCCTGTGCAGCCATGGCCCCGGCGTAGATCTCAGCCTCACAACAGGAGCCGAGAACAGAAGACGAGCGAGTAGCCCGCCACGAGAGAGAGCCAGAGCCAAGACTGAAGGTGTACCCCTGCGATGACCGCTGCGTAGCCTGGTCGTCAGCCCAAGAAGCGTCCGCGTGACCAGTGAGGACCACTGGACTCCACCCTCCAAGCACTAGCCCCATGCCCGACGTACTGCACAAGTAGCGCAACACCCTCTTCGCTGCAGCCATGTGCTCTATTCGGTGTCTCCCAGGAGCAACATAGCGTGCAAGAATGCTAAGAGGGTATGCAAGGTCAGGTCGTGTGCAGGTCATCAGGTACATGAGGCAGCCAACAAGCTCTGGGTACGAGCCACTCGACTCTACGGACTCATCCGAAGGCAGAGCTGAGAGCGAGTGGCGAGTAGCCAGAGGAGTGGCCTGAGGCGAGGAGTACGTGAAGCCGAAGCGCTGAAGGACCTGCTGCGCCATGTGTGACTGAGTCAAAGTAATGGTGCGGCGTGCTCTGTCCCGAGTGATCTGCAAGCCAAGGTAGCTGCGCAGTTCACCCAGGTCTGTGCACGTGTGTCTCTTCAGCAGCTCGGACTTCACGTAGGCAAGTCCAGCAGTGTCAGCAGTGGCAAAGACCAAGTCGTCGACGTACACGAGGATGTGAACGGCGGCAGAGAAGTGTCGGTGCGCAGAAACAACGACGGGTCAGCAGTAGAGGGAGCAAACCCAAGAGCCGCAAGCGTAGTCCTCAGTGTGTCGTGCCACTCACGTGGTGCCTGGCAGAGACCGTAGACTGGCCGTCGGAGGCTCCACTGGGTGCCAGGAGGGAAAGTCTAAGTGAAGCCACGCGGACAGCGCAGCCAGATCTCCTCGTGCAGGCTGCCCTGCAAGAAAGCAGTGCTGAAGTCAAGAGAGTGAAGCTCGTAGTCGCGCTGAGCGGCTATGTGCAGCAGCACCCGAAGAGTAGTCATCTTCGGGGTGGGAGAGAAGGTCTGAAAGTAGTCAACTCCCTGCCGCTGACTGAAGCCACGAGCAACGTACCGCGCCTTGAAGACAGGTGGAGAGCCAGGCGGCCGCTTCACCCTGAAGATCCACATGCCACTGACGATGTTCGCCCCAGGAGGGGGAACCTTGTCAACGTAGGTGCCTGTGGACTTCCAGGAAGCCATCTCTGCATCCATAGCTGCCTGCCACTGAGAGGAGTAGGGACCCTCTACGGCCTCCGCGTAAGAGCGCGGAGTCGGGATGTCTAGTGCATCCGGTTCTCCCTCAGGGGCAAGCAGTACAGATGCGAGATGAGGTGAAGCAGCAGCCAGACACTCAAACTCCTCCTGCCTGTCCTCAAGGACGTCCGTGCCAAGAGCACACTCACCCCCGACGAACGGAGGACAGACAGACGCAGACTCAGCAACAAGACTAGCAGCGTAGTCTAGATGACAGTGAGCAGCAAAGTCGACGAGCTCAGCGACAAGAGCAGACGCAGCAGTGGACTCAAAAGAGGGGTCAGTGACGACAGTAGCAAGAAGACGCGTGACAGTAGGACTGGCAGCATGAAGAGAATCCGACTCCGGGTCGGCAAGCGCAGGAAGAGAGGACTCAGGAGGAGAAGGCAAAGGGGCACGCAGAGGAGTAGTGGACAGACGCAGAGACATCCGGTGCGTGCCAGGGACAGGAGGAGGACGCTCACGCGAACCGCGACCACTAGTGCGAGCAGCACGAACAGGCGACGCGGGACGAGACGCAGGCTCACGACGCTCAGCGAGACCTCCAGTAGGACCAGTGTAAGGAGAGGGAGCAGGCAGCGGTGAGGCGGGCTCTATTAGTGACTGCGATTGGACAGACGGCGGACACTCTACAGAAGGAGGAAGACCAAGAACCTGCTGCAGGAGCGGAACGAAGTACGGCCGAGGCCGCGCGGGGACTCCAGGCACAGGAGGGAGAGCACCAGAACCCTCAGCGGCAGCACCAGCGCCAACAGCACCTCCAGCGGCAGGACCACCTCCAGGACAGACAGCAGCAGTCTCAGCACCAACACCCTTAGCAGCTCCAGCTCTAGTGGGACCCGAAGGCCCAGCAGCTCTAGGACTGGCGGCACCAGCACACTCAGCGGCCGAAGACGCTCTAGCTCCAGCAGAACGCCTCCAGCGGCGAGCAAACCACTCGCGCAGCTCCTGTGGAGAGAGGGGCTCCCGCGAAGACGGAACACCCGGAGAAACTCAAGGCCCAGCACCGCTAGACGCCACGAGGGGAGGTCCAGTGGCCGTAGGCTCCGCACCTCCTGGCTCAGCAGCTCCAGACGCAGCACCTCCAGGCTCAACACTTTCCGGCGCAGCACCCCCAGACTCAGCAACCTCAGGCTCGTCACCCCCAGGCTCAGCACCCACGCGCACAGCACCCCCAGGCTCAGCACCCCCAGGCTCGCAACCCTCAGGCTCAGCACCCACGCGCACAGCACCCCCAGAGTCAGCACCCTCAGGCTCAGCACCCTCAGCAGAACCAGAGTTACCATCAACCTCGACCGGCTCGACGGCGTCTACCTGGGACACACCTGAAGGGGCAGGAACCTGAGGGGGGAGGGGGTCTACCGGGGGGGGGACCTAGCACAAGGAAGTCCGGTGGCGGGGGGAGGGAAGGAGTACGGTAGGGGAA